ACAATGCAAGCGTTCCTGCTACCACCCCACACACAGCAACCTGCACAATAGGGCTTGGAGTGGAGAGAGCTGACCTGGCATCTTCCTCCTCTCTGGGTCTTGGGAAGGTAGGAGACAGCCTACCTGATTTGACTTTCCTCCCATCTAGTGAGTCTGTGCTTCCTGTGTAAAGGTCCACCTGATCACAAGGAAGCAAACCTATTCTTAGTTCTACTTTTGGAACAACAACATCTAACTTTAACCAGTCTAATCCAACACCTAAAACTACCATGTACTGAGTACCTGCTGGACACCGGATGTTGTGAAGGCACCTCACATATAGGATTCCATTTAGCCCTCACCCCGATCCAGTGAGACAGGCATTATTTCTCTCAAGTGGTGGCTAAATCCAGGCCTGCTCCTCCATGGCACCCTGAGGGGCAGACCTTACAGTGGATACCGCTGCCCGCAGGAGCTTACAGTCAATTGAGATGAGCCAGACCTACACAGCTGCGCGGAGAAACAAAGTACAGCAATGTCTGTCAAACTTGAGCTTGTGGTACTACAGGGAAAAGGATTGTTATAAACCACCAATACTGAGTTACATTTACAAATTATTATGTAAATGTGCACAAAATAAACTTTGCATAAACTCCTTGTACTACTATTTTGATGAATTTCCTTGTATACATTCACATGCATTTGAGTCCTTATTTTGTTAATTTGTATTATCCTTTTTTTTTTTCATTTTCCCATATACCAGCATTTTGCTCTGCCAAGAACAAAATTAGAAAAATCTGTTTGTTTGTTTTCATTCTTTCACCAGCATATGGGATTTCACCACGTATCTGTATTCCCCTATATGTGGGCATTTAGGTTGTTTCTGATTTGTGTCACTATAAATCACACTGTAACATACATTTTTGTACACGGACCTTCGGCTGCCTTTCTGATTATTTCCTTGGAGCTAATACTCAGGAGTGGAATTACTGAGTCAAAGGACACAAACATTTTTAAGGCTTCAATCTATATATTTCTCCAGAAGGGTTGTACTAATTTGTCTACTTCTGAGACTGAAGGATGACTTTGGGGCCCAAGAGGTGTCAAGGAGAAAGTGGCATATGAAAAAGAACTTCAAGNTCACTGGCTGAGCGCGGTGCGGCCGGTCTCAAAAAGGACAAAAAAAGAAAAGAAAAGAAAATGCCATTTTAAGTAAAACTGTCTGTCCTTCATCATTAGATTGTGCCCTAAATTAGATAAAAGCCATAGATCTTCAGTTAGAGTCTAAGCAAGATGATGTGATGTTGTTAGAAAGTAGTAGCTTGGACGTAGGTACCAAACGACTTGAAAGGACTGGAAGGTTGTGTGTGCATGGGGGCCTACCCATGAATAGCCAGACGCTCTTAATGACAGCCATGATGTCACGCCGTCGGCCCCATAACAGGGAGGTCTACTGGGACAGCCTAAAGTAACAAACAGGACACACACCCTCTGTGTCACCGGTACAATGCAAGCGTTCCTGCTACCACCCCACACACAGCAACCTGCACAATAGGGCTTGGAGT